TAAGGGGTATTGGCAAATTCCCCTGGCCCCAGATGCCATCCCTAAGGCGGCCTTTGTCACCCCATTTGGTTTGTACCAGTTGAAGATCATGCCATTTGGGATGAAAAACACCCTAGCTACTTTCCAGAGGATGGTGGACCGACTCCTGAATGGGTTCCAGGACTATACCTGTGCCTACCTGGACGATATTGCCATTTTTAGCAATACGTGGCAGGAGCACTTGGCCCATATAGGAGCGGACCTAGACAGGATTAGGGAAGCTGGTTTGACATTGAAACCGGCCAAGTGCAGCATAGGGATGGCCGAGGTGCAGTACCTGGGACATAGAGTGGGGTGCGGCAAACAGAAGCCCGGACCAGCCAAAGTAGAGGCCGTGGCCCTGTGGCCCACCCCTAGGACTAAGACCCAAGTTTTAGCGTTTCTAGGGACCGCTGGGTATTACAGAAAATTTGTCCCTAACTATAGTGCCCTGACCAAACCCCTTACTGACCTTACCCGGAAGAATCTGCCCCGCCAGGTGACCTGTACCCCGGAGTGTGAACAGGCATTCCAACATCTGAAAAATGCACTGATAAATGCCCCTGTCTGGGCAGCTCCCAATCCAACTAAACGTTTTCTTGTCCACACAGACGCTTCTATGTTTGGATCGGGAGCAGTATTGAGCCAAGTCGGGGCCGATGGCGGAGAACATCAGTCGCAAGTTACTACCCCGCGAAGTAAGCTACGCCGCCATCGAGAAGGAATGCCTGGCTGTGGTGTGGGCCCTAAAGAAACTGCAGCCGTATCTGTATGGACAGCCCTTTTCATTGCTCACGGATCACAACCCGTTGGTCTGGCTAAACCGGGTGGCTGGGGACAATGCCAGGCTGCTGCGCTGGAGTCTGGCGCTGCAGCCCTTTGACTTTAATATTCAGTACCGCCCGGGTAAACAGAATGGGAATGCTGACGGGTTGTCGAGACAAGCTGACCTGGAAAAGTGATCCGTGAGCCCCGGGACATCCCCAAGCCGATCCGTGTTGGATCAGACTGTGTATGCCGGCTTGTGGGCAAGGGGGAGCAGTGTAGCGGATGGCACAGGGCTGTCCTGAAAAATTAATGTGTTCACTGCATTCGTGTAAACTGCTAGTTTTATATGTGTTTAAATAAAGTGTATTCGTCTGATTGTTCGGTAGAATCATTCGAATAAACTAAGGGAATGAAACTACCGAACAATCAGACCTCCCCTGTGTGAAGTGTGCCTTCAATTACCCGTTGCAACAATGTTGCGAACGGGTAATTAACGAGCTATGCAGTAGGTCCTTTGTCTCGGGGTGGCCGCCATTCGGGAAACGAACACGTAGTGGCGGCCATTTTAAAACTCTCGAACAGCGGTGTTTTGCCGTTGAGTGTCTGGAACCCAAATCGGACACTCGACTAGGCCCCCACAAGCCCGCTGAGACCTCCACAAGCCCGGTTCCAAACTACCGAACGGCCCCTCGTTCGGTAGACAGAAACAACCGAACAAAGGGATTCATGTGAATCCTACCTGATCTCTGTAACCTTAGCCGTTCGTGTAATTTATTCCCTTGTACTGGGACCGACCGCAGGGCCCCATCGCATGGAACCCAATTCGGCTGTTCTATCCAGCGCGGTCGGTCTTTTTAGTACCTCCATAAATTTCCCGAACCCCTGGTCCGATCTGGGTGATTTTTGGATATGTTGCTCACCCAGATCAGGGCTACCAGGGGATGTGCCATTTAAAGGGGTACCCCTAGGTTTAGGGGTACATCCAGAAACTGGGGGAATTTGGGTACAGTATAAGGGGATTATGATGCAGGCTGAGGGGAGGAGATGTGTGGGAGGTTACTATTGCCAGATTGGGTACTGTACTAATTGATGAAAATCCCTCCCTTGCATGGGAGCATGCTTTATAAGGCCACTGTGGAATAAAGGTTGTCAGTTCTGCTCCTGATGCTGTGTGTCATCCAGTCATTGGGATTGCTGTGGGGATACTATTGGATTATTTTGCCTGCTGGAAACTTTGCCTGTGGATTTATAATTTACTTGTTCCTGAACCTCACTGGGATCATAAGCGGAGATAATCTGTGGAATATTGTATCTCCGCTACATGCCCTTTACCTACTGAGTCTAAAAAAACCTACTATCTGCCCATTACCTACTGAGTCTGAAACCTACTATCTGCCCTTTACCTACTGAGTCTGAAACTCACTATCTGTCCTTTACCTACTGAATCTGAAACACACTATCTGCCCTTTACCTACTGAGTCTGAAACCTACTATCTGCCCTTTACCTACTGAGTCTGAAACTCACTATCTGTCCTTTACCTACTGAGTCTGAAACCTACTCAGTGGATTGTAGGTGAGGAAAAAACATTTTTCCAAGTGGAGGAGTGGGTCATTCTCCAAAGTGCCCAATAGGGCATATTACACCAGAGAGGCCCTTCCACAAGTGGGTTGAAATTGACCTTTAATGCCAGATTTACATTGAGACTGTGTTTAATTTTCCTCGCCCCCAGTGTCTGCCCATGCCTCGACCTTGCAGAACCTCAAATATCAGCCCATGTCCTCAGCCTTGCAGGTCACTCAGTGTTAGTACATGTCATCGGCCCCCAGTGTCAGCACATGTCCCAACATTGCAGGACCCCCATTTGCAACTCATGTCCTCGGCTCTGGAAGACCCCTGGGACAGTCAATGCCCCATTTCAGTGCAGAACTCCAAGTGATTTCCCATATTCCTGACCCTAAAGAAACCGCATTGTCAGCCCATATCACTGGCCTTACAAGTCAGCCCATGTTCCCGGCCCCCAGTGCCAGTCCATTTCCAGACCTTGCAGGACCTCCAGTGTCAGCTCATGCTTTCAGCCCCCATTGTCAGCACATGTGCCGACCTTGTAAGACTCCCAGTGTCAGCTATTGTCCCCTGCCTCCTAAGCCCTGTCCCCAGATTTCAGTGTCCCTGGCCCTGCAAGACACCCTGTTTCACCCCATGTCTTCAGAAACCAGTGTTAACCCATGTCCCGTCCTTGTAGGACTCCCAGTGTCGATCTCTTCGACCTTTGGTGTCTCCAGCTCTGTAAGACCCCCAGTGTCAGCCCACGACCACGGCTCTAAAGGACCCCCAGTGTCAGCCCACATCCCCAGGACCCTCCTCCACACATAGTGCTTCTGACAGACGGGGTCAGGACAGGTGCAAAGGGGCCATTTTTCACTGTGTGCTCTGCTCTCTATTTCCAGTTCTGATCTAAGTGAAGGAATCCCCAGCTATCAAATCCAAAGCCCCCAGCCTGGAATCCCTCTCCCCCCCACCATACACACCCCCTCCTCATGGGACCCGTTCCATTATTGGGAGCTCTGCCAGCCAGAGGATTAGCCATTACTCTATTTAAACTCTGCTTGAAATGCCGACCAGCTTCCAAAAAGACATCTGATTTTTGCAGATCATTTAATATCTTCTATGTCACACTGAAAGCCTGAAAGGGAACACGTCATCTTCTACTGCCTGCTAAAGAGCATTTCATCTTCAGCCCCAGTCTGTACACACAGTATTCCAGCCCCAGTCTTGTATGTACGTAGTGGGGAATTGCGATGCAGCATTATACATAAACCAACCCAAATCCTCCCCCTTCCAAAATAAAGACAGACAGCGTAGTATGGATGAAACAGGCCACAGCATTTATTATACCATAAAAACAAATACTGTATGACACCTCCATAATTTATTTAATACATTTCTCTTCATTTCTGTAACCAACAATAAACACGAATAACCATAAATTAACATATAACTTAACACAGTGTCATACAGAGAACCCAATCGTCCTTGCCAATAAACTGACCATGCGCCTATGTGCGACTTCCTCTCACCTCCCCCCTCGTCATAAAAATCATTTCCTTCCAATGCCCGCCACCAGCTGACCTTATCGATGGGCTCGACACCCCGGGTAACCTAATGTTAACCGTTTGAAGCAGGGGAGGTTGAGACCTTAAAAACTTGTTCATCTCATTCCATATACTTAAACGTAACCCCTCAAACTCAATTGGCAAGGACATACCCCCGGCTAGCTGTGACTAAATATACCAATAGGGCGGGCGGGAGGGAAGCTGTTTGCTGGCCCGAATCCCAAGTGGCACTGAGGTAAGACCTCCCCCACACTAATTTACACAGAACATAATCCCACCCACACACTCTTTCCCAACCAATCCCCTGCATCTGTCCCCACACTCCTACATGTGCCCTTGTCCGCTTAGCTGCGCTATCTCCCCAGGGCCTGTATGCGCACAGTATCCCTGTCCCAGTCTGTACGCACAGTATCCCAGTCTCTTTGCTCTGTACGCACATTATCCCTGTCTCTTTGCTCTGTACGCACAGTATCCCAGTCTCTTTGTTCTGTACGCACAGTATCCCTGTCTCTTTGCTCTGTTCGCACAATATCCCCGTCTGTTTTCTCTGTACGCACAGTATCCCTGTCTCTTTGCTCTGTTCGCACAATATCCCCGTCTCTTTGCTCTGTACGCACAGTATCCCCGTCTGTTTGCTCTGTACACACAGTATCCCGGTCTCTTTGCTCTGTACGCACAGTATCCTGGTCTCTTTGCTCTGTACGCACAGTACCCGGTCTCTTTGCTCTGTACGCACAGTATCCCGATCTCTTTGCTCTGTACATACAATATCCCGGTCTCTTTGCTCTGTACGCACAGTATCCCGATCTCTCCGCTCTGTACGCACAGTATTCCGGTCTCTTTGCGCTGTACGCACAATATCCCTGTCTGTTTGCTCTGTATGCTCAGTACCCGGTCTCTTTGCTCTGTACGCACAGTATCCCGATCTCTTTGCTCTGTACGCACAGTATCCCGATCTCTCTGCTCTGTACGCACAGTATCCCGATCTCTCCGCTCTGTACGCACAGTATCCCGATCTCTCCGCTCTGTACGCACAGTATTCCGGTTTCTTTGCGCTGTACGCACAATATCCCTGTCTGTTTGCTCTGTATGCTCAGTACCCGGTCTCTTTGCTCTGTACGCACAGTATCCCGATCTCTTTGCTCTGTACATACAATATCCCGGTCTCTTTGCTCTGTACGCACAGTATCCCGATCTCTCCGCTCTGTACGCACAGTATCCCGATCTCTCCGCTCTGTACGCACAGTATTCCGGTCTCTTTGCTCTGTACGCACAGTATCCCGATCTCTCCGCTCTGTACGCACAGTATTCCGGTTTCTTTCGGCTATGCGCTTTAATATCCCTGTCTGTTTGCTCTGTATGGTACCGGTCTCTTTGCTCTGTCGCGCAGTATCCCACGATCTCTTTGCTCTATGCGCTGGTATCGATCTCTCCGCTCTGTACGCACAGTATCCCGATCTCTCCGCTCTGTACGCACAGTATCCTGATCTCTCCGCTCTGTACGCACAGTATTCCGGTTTCTTTGCGCTGTACGCACAATATCCCTGTCTGTTTGCTCTGTATGCTCAGTACCCGGTCTCTTTGCTCTGTACGCACAGTATCCCGATCTCTTTGCTCTGTACGCACAGTATCCCGATCTCTCCGCTCTGTACGCACAGTATCCCGATCTCTCCGCTCTGTACGCACAGTATCCTGATCTCTCCGCTCTGTACGCACAGTATTCCGGTTTCTTTGCGCTGTACGCACAATATCCCTGTCTGTTTGCTCTGTATGCTCAGTACCCGGTCTCTTTGCTCTGTACGCACAGTATCCCGGTCTCTTTGCTCTGTACGCACAGTATCCCGATCTCTCCGCTCTGTACGCACAGTATCCCGATCTCTCCGCTCTGTACGCACAGTATCCCGATCTCTCCGCTCTGTACGCACAGTATTCCGGTTTCTTTGCGCTGTACGCACAATATCCCTGTCTGTTTGCTCTGTATGCTCAGTACCCGGTCTCTTTGCTCTGTACGCACAGTATCACGATCTCTTTGCTCTGTACGCACAGTATCCCGATCTTTCCGCTCTGTACGCACAGTATCCTGATCTCTCCGCTCTGTATGCACAGTATCCCAATCTCTCCACTCTGTACGCACAGTATCCCGATCTCTCCGCTCTGTACGCACAGTATCCTGGTCTCTTTGCTCTATACACACAATATCCCTGTCCCTCCGCTCTGTACGCACAGTATCCCGATCACTCCGCTCTGTATGCCCATACCCATCCCTTGCATCCACAGTTGTCACTAAAAAATGTTTTGATCCAAGTCAGTGCTTTCCATAGCATTATTAGCCCTATTGTCAATCATAGCATTTGAAGAGTTTGGTTTCAAGCTGTAACTGACCGTTTTGCACACAAGGGGTAAAAACCGTTTAGGCGATCGGCCCCCTTTCCAGAGATGCAGGCACAGCTATTGTACAACACCAAACTCACGAACCGCCAATAAGCGAATGCTCCAAACTCCCGAACGGCATCCAATATAGCACTCCAAACACACGAACTGGAACCATACGAATCGCTGCTAGCAGACGAATAGGAAAAGCATCCAAGCGGCTTACACTCCTAGCAATCAGTCTCTATCAGCGTTCAGTAAATCCCCCCAAAGACGAGACAAGGCTCCGTGTTGTGGGTCAAGCAGTGGTCTGTTTAATGAGGGCTACCTGCCCAGTATTTATGCAGGTCTCCCACCCTAGGGGACCAAATGGGAGACTGTGACAAAAGACAGACAATCAGACAAATAGGACACACAGTCACATTATATCCCCACAATGCATCCTGGCTTCCTCCCCTCTGCCTTAGTAATTCAATTATCTCCCAAGACAAAGGCAAATCGCCATTATGCACGTGGGGGTACTAACACAGGAATTACTATTAAAATACACTATGTGAGACACATAACATTAAAACCATACATTTAACATATCCCCAGATAGCTCAGGTCCGAGCGCACATTATTAAGGCGCTCAGACCACACGAATACAGTTTAATCGCCATGGAGCCAAAGTCTTTACACAGTCAGTTTCATGCGAATGGGCTCCATGGGATTCCTATCTGGGGTATAACACATTCAAGCAAAACTACCGAACACCGAGCCGTTCGTGCACTTTCACCGAACAAGAAGGGAGGTCGGTGGCTTCAGCGGTGTTCGCGCAAAACTGTGTCCAATTTCAGTTCCATGAATTAAGCTTCGAACACCGCTGTGCGTTCGCATGTTTATAATGGCCGCGACCTCGTCTTCGTGATACGAATGGCGGCCACCCAGCATTCGTCAATTAAGCTGCGGTTAACCGCAGCTTCAGGGAGGCTAATTGCCGGCACACTCCAGCTCCCAGGTGGTTGCTCCAGCTCCCATTCGTGCGGTTGTTCGGTAGATTGAATCTACCGAACACCAGGCAGAAAAGCATGAATAAGTCTTTTCTGCAGGGAAAAACAATGTCTTTTAACATGGGGCCATAGTCCAAAGGCAGCAGGCGAGCAATCAGGCTTCTCCAATGCAATGTGGCGAGATTGGTCTCGTCACACAGGGGTAATACAGTAGGGGACTACATGGGGGACTTAACCTTCTGGGCATTTCTCCCATCAGGCACTGCTGCACAAGAGGGATACTCCCTCTGGAATATACCATTAAGTGGATTATCCCTCCGTGCAGCAGAACCGACAATTCACTTTTAAATACATAACTTTTGTAATACTTAGTCTATTTAAACGAATGAACGTTCGGTAGATAGCTGGGGTCTGAGTGCACAGTTCGTGAGAATACCGCTCAGATCCCAGCTAAAACAACCGAACGCCGCATGAAATACACTTTGCCATATATGTGGTAGCTCTGCCCTCCCTTCCCAATTGTGGTAGCTCTGACCCCCCCTTCCCAGTTGTGGTAGCTTAGCCCCCACCTGGTTGTGATAGCTCTGTCCCCTCTGTTGTTGTAGCTCAGCTCCCCCACAGTTGTGGTGGTTTCTTCCCCCTGGTTGTGATACTTCCATCCCCCTGCTTTTGGTAGCTCAGTGCCCCCTGCAGGTAGCAGGAATTAATTTGGAAGTCAGAACTTGACTCTAATACAGGAGGAATAGGGAGTGCAGTCTTACACCAAGGACACACAATATTAGATAAAGGTCCCAAAGGCCTATGGCAGTCGCTGACCCCACGGAGCTTCTCTAATCTTTGTGTCTCAAATTGACATTCCTTGCAGCCCTGAGCAGGATATGTGTGAATGTTTGAGGGGGGAGGATAGGGACAGGATTAGGATACATGACAAATCCCCCTCTGCAATAAATATCTGTAGCCTCCAGACAAAGAACCAGGACTTACATGGAGTGCAGCGCCTCAAATATTTATATACATCTGCTGGGGGAATATCTGAGATCATTGACAGCCAGGAATGAGGGGGGAGCAGCTCCAAACAGTGGATGAGGGGAAAATAATGTACTATTCATTTATATACATCCCGCAAACACTGTATCTGCATTAGATTGCAAACTTCCTGGACTATAACCCCACTTCCAAGAAACTATAAGCTTCTAGGACAACTACACCCTCACTTGCTACAGACACTAAGCTTCTAGGACATTAATGACAAACTTTTTGAGTGACCAAACTCGAAACCAGCTTATTTACCTCAAAGTGGCAAGCGCCAACACTGTAATTAAAGACGAAAGCAGAGGTCAGGCTGTATGTGATGTGTGTGCTCGGTGTTTATTTTAATTTTGCATTAAAAAAAATAAAAGGAAATAGAAAAACATGTTGTCCCCTCTCCTGCTAACCTTTTTTGTCATGCTGATGGCCCAGTAGGGGTTAATGATTTCCTTGTGCTTTTGGTGGGGGTTATTAATAAACCTCTGGTGATCCAGTGGGGTTAATAAAAGATCCTGGTGGTACAGTGGTCTTACTAATGTTTTCCTTGTGGTACAGTGGTGGAGTGGAAGGTCTGCACCTCCACATGGTGCAGACTATATTTATATCTTCTTTCTACCTGGCGCTCAGGAAGTCAGTGCGCAGGTTGGGAATCCCAGTGGCTATACACTGACTCCGTGACTGAGCAGCAGAATCGCAAGGGAGCAATTAATACTGTCTGTACCAAGCAGACTTAAAGACCATGCTCTCCACCACTTGACCACTAGTGAATCATTTTTGGCCGATTTGTGTGTGACTTCTTATGGAAGCACCAGCACTGGGTATCCACTACATGGCTAACCATATACACACTTTTCCTGTCATTGAACTCCACTGCTCCTCTTTATGCAGACCTACAGAAGGTCCGATTTCCATTGACATTTGTCCACCGAATCATCTTGGAAGCCTGGACAGTCAAGCAGACAGTCCTTGCCCTTGAATACCCAGAAGAAGGTAGTATTCTCACTATTACATTTGTAGAGTTTATAGATTTTAATTCCATATCTGGGGAATTTGGAAAGCACACATTGTATAAAGCCTAGTCTTCCTTTGAACTTTCTGAGTGACTTATCTACTGGAACATATTTAATGGGTGGAGGGAATGTACTTTGAAAACTTGGCCTGTGATTAAGTGTTAAAGGGATACTCCAGGCACCCAGACCACTTCTGCCCATTGGATCCTATGGGGATGTCTAACGCGCGTGTGCGGCCATTATCGCGCAAGCGCATTAGGTCTCCCCAACCGGCTGATGTCGGTGAGGGAGGAGAGTAGTTGGAGAGTAGGCGGAGCCTGACCAGCGCCGAAGGACATCGGTGCTGGACTCCAAGTAAGTTACTGAAGGGGTTTTAACCCCTTCAGCAACTTGGGATGGGGGTGGGATGGAGAGGGGCACTACAGGGTCCGGCGGGAGGGGGAACAGGGTCCGGCGGGAGTGGGAACACCCTCAGGGCACTATAGTGCCAGGAAAAAGAGTATGTTTTCCTGGCACTATAGTGGTCCTTTAACATGCAAAACCACCTATGTTTTCCTGGCACTGGAAAATCCCTTTAAGGGCATATATTAAAAAGCCAACTACAGCTAGGTTTTCTTTAGGGGGCACATAGTGTGAGTGATGAGATGCATAAAGTGAAGCAGCATTTCAAATCTTGCTCTTTCACTTTCACCACTTGGAGTGGTAGATAGGTGTAGCATTAATAGGTTGGTGTTTCAATAAGTCCATGAATAAAGTCAGAATCTAGAATATCCGGAACACATATGTGGACTGCCACACCGTGTGATATAAAGATTAGTATTTTTACCTATTGACCTTCTTTGCAAGGACTTTACAGGTGATACTCGAAAAATTAGAATATTGTGCAAAAGTTCATTTATTTCAGTAATGCAATGTAAAAGGGGAAACTAATATATGAGATAGACGCATTACATGCAAAGCAAGATAGTTCAAGCCGTGATTTGTCATAAGAACGATGATTATGGCTTACAGCTCATGAAAACCCCAAATCCACAATCTCAGTAAATTAGAATATTGTGAAAAGGTGCAATATTCTAGGCTCACAGTGTCCCACTCTAATCAGCTAAGTAAGCCATAACACCTGCAAAGGGTTTCTGAGCCTTTAAAGGACCACTATAGGCACCCAGACCACTTCAGCTTAATGAAGTGGTCTGGGTGCTAGGTCCAGCCAGGTTTAACCCTTTTTTTCTATAAACATAGGGTTAATCCAACCTCTAGTGGCTGTCTCATTGACAGCCGCTAGAGGCGCTTCTGCGCTTCTCACTGTGATTTTCACAGTGAGAAAACGCCAGCGTCCATAGGAAAGCATTGTGAATGCTTTGCTATAGACTGGCTGAATGCGCGCGCAGCTTCTGCAGCGCATGCGCATTCAGCCGAGGAGGAGTAAAGGAGGAGGAGAGTCCCCCGCCCGGAGCTGGAGAAAGAGGTAAGTTTTAACCCCTTCCACCCACTAGAGCCCGGCGGAAGGAGGACTCTGAGGGTGGGGGCACCTTCAGGGCACTATAATGCAAGGAAAACGAGTATGTTTTCCTGGCACTATAGTGGTCCTTTAAATGGTCTCTCAGTCTGGTTCATTAGGAATCACAATCATGGGAAAACTGCTGACCTGACAGTTGTGCAGAAAACCATCATTGACACCCTCCATAACGTATCAAAGCACATTAATAGAAAGTTATGTGGAAGGGAAAAGTGTGGAAGAAAAACGTGCACAAGCAGCAGGGATGACCACAGCCTGGAGAGGATTGTCAGGATTGAAAAGGCCATTCAAAAGTGTTGGGGACTCTCACAAGGAGTGGACCGAGGCTGGAGTCAGTGCATCAAGAGATCAAGATGTTGTATTCCT